TTAAATGATTATTTATACAAAATCAGAGAGCTCTAGAGTTTGATGTGTCCTTAGAGAGCCAATCCTTTTGTAACACAGAAATGGAGATTGAGAATTTCCCATGATTCCTTAGCACTTTGAAAAATTGGTTAGCGAGCTCATCTCTTCCTTCTTCATCCCTTCCTTCTTCCTCTATTGCCAGACCTCTGAGACTTCCCAGGACCCAGTACAGTGTTACATGCAAAATAAGCAATTAACCAAATGTTCTTAAATGGGTACATGGTTGTCCTATTTTTTAAATCCCTCAAAGCCGATATTGTTTGGTTCTTTAAAGGACACAGATGGTAGAAACAAGGTAACCTGGAAAGTCTTTGTTTTCCTTTGTAGCAGGCACAGTTTACTGGTTGACTCAGCATCCATTTCTAACCTCATTTCCCTCATCCACTTTGCTTCTAAAGCCCAGGGAAGCTAAGTACTTTCTCAGCCTCCCTGCATTAGGCGTGACCAGGTGACAGTTTTGAAGTAAGTGAGATGTAAGCAGACGCCTGCAGGAGTTTTTTGTGAACATTATGTTTTCCTGATGGAAGGGACAAAGGAGGTACATACTTTCCTCGCTCCCTTTTCTGTCTGGAGGGTGACCATGTTGGCTGCATCTACATCAGCCTGCTTATGTCCATAGGGAAATGTCAAGAGACTATCAGAGACGTTGGCTGGTATCGTGGAGATGCCAGACCATCACCAGCACCATCTACCTCCTGGCTTCTTGTTCTGTGAGAGCCACAAACCCTTCTTTGTTTAAGCCACTGAGTTTCTATTCCTTGCTTCTAAGTGCTTTTCTGATACTTACTCGAAACCAGCTGCAGAGCCTGGCGAAACAGGAGGGACAGGTCTGACAGATGTAGACATTACCCTTAATGTACTTCGTAAGTTCGGTTTTGTAACATTTACTTGTAACCACATTAAAAAAAAGGTTGTTTCAATGAATACCTAACATTTGAAAACAAGGGAAACCAAAAGCAGTTGCCGTCTTATCTCGGCCTCATCGGTCGACATGGTTTTGTTTTAGCTGCATAGCATTTAGAGAATCCTAATTCACACACATGATTAGTTGCAAATGTACAAGTGCGTTCACCCTGCAATTTCAGGTCAGAAGGTTTGAAAGAGGAGCGTGAGGACAATTTCCCTTCAAAATGGAGTCAACACCAGCATGTGAGACCTGCTCCCCTTCCTCAAGTGGAGACTGTCCAGTGTGGAGGGAGGGAGTCGGTGAACAGTTTCTTCAACCAAGGAAATCCTCATTGCTCGGGGGAAAATCTAATGTAGTGAAAAACAGTCCAGATTCTGGAGACACACTTTGTGAGTCCAAATCCTGAGACTACCCCTTGCTGGCTGAGTGCCTCTGTTTTGGTGTCTTCCGTGTGCAAAATGGGCACATTAATGGTACCTACCTTAGAAGGTTGTGGGTGGCTTACATCCGTCAATACAGGTGAGGCTCCAGAATAATGCTGGACACATCATGACAACAGCTGTTAGCAATGATGGAATGTCCAATGACGTCCCAGCTTCTCCATTGCCTGTCTCTGTCAGATATTTACTAAAAAATTTAAAACAGACAAGTCTATTTTGCTTGAAACATTGAACACATATGTCAGGTTCAATGTCTTTGCTGATCAATTCCCTTAGGATTAACCCGGAAGCTTCACCTTGCCAAGGTAAACTTATTCAGCCTTTAAAAGGAAGGGAATCTTTGGGATCCTACAATAGATGCTGAAACTATGTATAATGTGCCATGATCATTGCCCTGCAGCCTTTGTCCAATAGCTATTTTAAGACTAATTACTGTACCTGTGACCTTACAAGGTGCTGGGCAAACGTGTATTTCACCTGGCATTTAATTTCTTAGGGCCCATGCATGCTATATCTGATACTCATGTGTATAGTTTTATGTAAACAGACACGGGAAGGCCTGCATTAAACAACAACAACAACAACAACAAACAATAATAATATAGAAAGGACCAGTACAGGGCCACAACATTCTGAATCAACGAACATTTACAAAATATTTATGGCAAGAGCTATATACACAGAAGCATGTACAGCTGGAAGCCCAATTTAAAGATGTTGGTTGTTTCCAGTATATAAACATTTGGTGTGTGAAATATTTAACTGTGAATTTTTTTTAATTGAGGAATTTTTAATTGTAAAACAAAATTATAACTGAATTTTAATCAAATATTTGTAGGCTCCTAAAGTATCCCTGCATGACTGTAGTTGTCCATTGGTCAGAGTTTAACAGTCACCTAAATTATTCCTAAAATCCCTTCTAAAATTTGGGATTTTGAGTTATAGAAATTAATGCATGAGACTTTACCCAACCCCTCCTATTCTGGTCATTCATCTGGGGACACTGGCTCTTTATTCTCTATAAGGTGAGTCTACCTCAAAACTAATAGAATTATCTTACTTTAAGACATTCCATAGAAGGTAGTTCTATAGCACGGGACTAATATAAATTAATTAGGGATGCTTTTGCCAACAAGTCATTGTCAGCTCAATTCAAAATGGCTTAACCAACTAGGGTATTTGCTGTCTCACGTAACATGCAAGGGAAGGCAGCTCCTTGGTTGGTTAATTCAGTATTTCAACAACCTCATCAAGGACCTAGGGTTTTTCTGTACTTCTGCTCAGCTGTCTTCACCACGTCAGCCATTTTTCCTTGTGGCCTCAGGATGGCTACAGGATGTGCACAGCCATGGTCAGAGATATAAAAGAGATGTCTGTATTCTTTTCAGTTCCCTTAAAAGCTAAAAAACCTTTCCCAGAAGTATCCCCAGAAGAGTTAGCCTCCAGTCTCATTGATCAGAATTAAGTCACATGTTCTTTCTTAAGCCAGTTCCTAGCAAGAGGAATAAAATTACCATGATTGGTCAGATTATCAAGATTGATGTGCTGGGCCTGGGAATACGGCCAAATTCAGGAGAGCCTATGGCCACACTGAAGAATGTGCATGTTGGAAAGCAAACAACAAAGTGGGATTCTGGGTGGGAAATCAAGAGCATCTGCAAGAGTCTCTGAAGAGAGCCAGAAACGTTATCTCCTCCTTGTCTGCTATCTCCCCTCCCCAGGCTGGGTGGGAATGGGAGCGAAAGACACAGGAAGCAGTTAGGACAAGAGAGCTACATTGTGCCTACACAGAGCCCAAAATTCTAATAGAATTGAAGATTCAGTTGATCTGAGTGTTTCACGTAGCTTTTAAAGGTTGTTATACTTGTTCCTACAACTTCATTTTGGTTTGTTGTGATACTGGTGGGAGCAGGGGACAGGTGTCAGGTGCTAAGAAGTGTTAGCCAAACAGCTTTTCCTTTTATGATGTTTTGTTTAATGTTTTGCTATCGTGAAAACATTTATGAATCTGCTCCAACTATGGACCCCCTCCCCAGAAAAAAGAGCACACAGGTACTTTCATGTAAATTTTGCAAATAATTTTAGGAGATTCACTGATGCCCTGTCATTCATGAGCTCAAAATTATAGCCTTATGATATCACTGATTGGTATGGGGGGAAAAAATAAGATTTGGTGTGAGGAAATAAACAAAACAGCAAAATCTGGAAGTCTGATGGACTTTTGTTAGCTATGTGGCCTTATTTCAATCTTTTTTAAGACCTCCATTTTACCTCTATAAAATGGAACTACTGGAGTTATTTCAAAAACCAAGTGGATAATGTGTAAGGTTGTTTTCAATTACATTTAAATAGCACTTTACAAATGTTGGCTTAAAAACTTAATTGTTCATAAATCCAAACAGCATGATGGCTCTTACTTCCCAATTGGATTTACTGAATTCAAAATAGTGCACCCCGTGAGGTTCCAAGGAGCAGAAGTTTTCTCCTCCACAAGCAATGGTCATTTTCAAACTCATGGATTGAACCCAGTACCCTTTTCCAGCAGCTGGTTTGAAAAGAGGCACCAGCTGAAACATCCCTAATGCACTGCCAAGCACTACTCCCTGCTGGCGAACTCAGGACATACCAGTCCTGAAGAAGAGAGACTGGGGCCCGGTCTTCTAGATGCCCCTCCTCTGCCTGTCCCACGCTAGCACCCACCCCGGGACTCCTCATTACTCATCACCACTGGCACTGTCCCTGCCCTTGCTTGGTCCCCGCCGTGGACCCACTCCAGGCCTCTCCCGTCCTTCGAGGCAAGAATGCCAAGTCCGGTTTTCTCACCATGGCGCCCATCTGCCTTTCTTCGCTGTAAATTCCCCATCCTTCCTTTCTCTCAGTGTGAAAAGCCCAACTTCCTCTCTTGTTTTTATAACATTCTTCCTCTCCATGCCCAACTGCCTTGGCAGCCGCTCCTGCACCACTGAATGGCAAAATGCCCATCCGAGTTTTCCCAGGGATCGATCAACGAAGAGATACAGGGAGCGGCAGACCATCAGAGACCAACGGAGCTAGCTGCTGCCTCCAGAGAGCACGCAGGCAGACGCCCAGAGCCCCTCTTGCTTCTCCCAGTACGGGCAGGCAGCTGACTGTGGGGATGAGGAGATTTTGCTGGGTGACGAAGAGCATCAGGACTGCACTCACACATACCTGTAGTAGAACAAAAAAGAGAAAAAATCAGATATGCCAAAGCCATAAGGATGCTGCCAACAGTCCAGCCACCCCCAGGGGCCTGGGGCCCATAGTCCTCTGCTATGCCCCGGACCCATGCCACCCGCTTCCTAGCTCCAGCTGGTCAAATTGGTGGGGCAACAGTCTATAGCTGAGGGTCTCTAGGACTATCAGAAGGGGCGGGTTCTCTGCCTTCTGTGTTTCCATGACTTCACAGCTACATTAGCGCACAACATACTCCCCCATGCTTGAACTCTCTGGTTGTGGGGCAGGAAGGGAGAGAGGGCCCAGCTCCCAGGCCCTTCGATGGCCATCAACACCCCAGCCCCACACTCATCAAAACAAGACCCAGAGCAGACAGTGCCTCCTGATTCACACTTGCTTCTTGTCCCACAAACTCCCAGGTCCCTACCACGTGTATCAACAACAGAAGTTGTTGGGGAAACTGATGCCAAGAGAGCTTTCAGGTGTCCCACCCATCCAGAGGGCAGCTGATATCTGCGGGTGCTGAGGGGAAGGCAGATCAGCCAGACCAGGTTAGTCAATGAATGGTGGGCTCGAGAGGAATCCCTTGCCAATTTTGCTTGAGTTTCCAGAATCAAAACTCACACCATTGACCAAGGGGGCAGCATGGTGTAGAGGTAATTAGCATCCTTGTGTGCAATTAAAGAGACCAAACTATGACTTTGGGTAAGTCAGTCTCTCTGGCCTTCTACATCCTCACTATGAAGAGAAGGAGCTTGGATGAGAAGACTGCTAAGGTCTCTGTAAGTCACAGTAATATAATAATAATAATAATAATAATAATAATAATAATAATAGCTAACATTTAGTAAGTGCTTACTAAGTGCCAGGCTTTTTCTAAGCGCTATGTTCAATCTTGCATGATTTTCATAACAACCCTAAGAGGTAGGTGCTACTGTTACAATTCCCTTTTTTTGTAAGTGAAGAAACAGCCACAAGGTCGTTTGCCCCAAATCACATCTAGTCAGGGGCAGAGCTGGACACCTGCACACTTAACTCCTCAGCTTTCCTTCCTCTCTAATGTATAGAAAGCATATTCTGTTGGATGGATGGGTAACCTCATGTGATCACTGCGTTATGGCTTGCCGCAGTTTTTTTCCTACTTTAGGAAAAAAAAAAAGTAGTGTCTGTTTTTAAATACTCCATCACGCTGCCTAGGACATAGTAGGTGCTCGTAAATATTTGCTTACCTGACTTTTTTCATCATTCAAAAAGTTGTATGAAAAAGACATGGAAACAAACAAGAATAAAACAAGAAGAGAAAATAATGAGGCTACATAACTGGGAGGAAGGATCTGACTCAGACCTCCTAATAGGAACTGTCTTACTGGAGAATAATCCAAAGAGAATACGCAGTGTGAGCCCAAAGAGTTCTTATCTTGATGAAACAGCCTCTAAATAAATAGGTAAATAAATAAATAAACACACACATATCAGCCCAGCTGCAGAAACTTGATTATTGACTTTGGCGATCCTTTCTCCATCTCTCTGTGCCAATAAAGTTATTAGAATTGAATTGAGAGAAGCAGATGCACAAGAATTGCTGAGACAAGATGCTGAGTAGTTAAAATCAATGACTTGCAGAGCTGATCTCCTGCCAAGGGCTACACCAGCTCCCAGGAGGAATCCACCCCTCTGGCCAGTGGCCCAGCACTGCGGAAGCTGCAGGTCAGGTTTCTTGAGGGGACTCCCGGGTAGCTGGGGACCGACAGGTGTGGGAAGAAGGAAGAAGGTACTCCTCCCGTTACTGAGGGCCAGACAGGCCAGCACCCACCAGACTGAGAACAACAAGGCTTTGCTAGACTCACTGTCCTCCTCTGGCTGTGGAAAGAGAAGAGGAGGCAGCGAAGGGGATGGAAGAGAACACAGTGTTATTCACAATCTGTCCGTGACAGGAAGAAAGAGTGGCTTAATAACCCATAGCTCGATGAATGGAATATTCCTTCTTTCCCCTGGCAGAGCTGGGCCTCTGGTGCCATCACCCATAAAATGGACAGCCACCCAAGGAGCCGTAGAGCTAATTAACAAATTTGTCCCCAAGCGTGCCAGAACCCAATCCACTAGAACTGTAAAGATAGAGAGTGTTTAGACACAAGCTTAATGAGGAAACCACTAGCATTCTCTGGAAGCCACCATGGCGACTTGGCACCTCTTCTAGCCACCTTCTCCTTCTCGGCCAGCTGCCTCCCATATTCTCCTGTGTTGGCCCCCAGCATCCTCATTCCATTTGTTTTCTCCATCATCCGCCCACCAACCATGAAGCACTGAAGCCACCATTTAAAGCTTGTGCCCAAATTTCTGAGAATGATTGTACATTTATAAGCACCTATGGAGCTCCTAGCAAGGGTATGGGCTTTTGATTAGTTGTGTATATATTTGCTTCTCGGGGTACATACTTTCTACAACAACAATAATAAGAGTAACACATATTGAGCACTTCTTATATGTCAGGCACTCTTTTAAACATGAAGAGTACTTGGGGAATCTGTGTAATTCAAGAGTGACAGACCTAGCAATACTTGACATAGGAGGTTCTCCAGCAATCCTACATCATAGCACGAAGCCCAAAGCTCTACCCACTTGCCTGGAGTTTTAAATCAGCTTAAGGGTTCCCAATCAGATTAACAGATCCACACTCTTAATCATGATTGGATATCCCAGTGCTACCAAACATCTGAGGAGAGCCAGTTATGTGGAAGATAAAAACCAAAACAAACAACAAACAAAGTAGTACATGGGGGAACTGAGAACATGGGAGGAGACGGAGAATTAAAGTGTGTATTTATTATATCTTTACAGAGAGAAGATACTGCATGCAAGAAAAAAGAACAGAGTGAAACAAAAAAGGAGCATTCTGAAGCCAAAATGAAATTCTTGGAAATTAAAAACAACAGAAATGAAAAAATAGTAAATATCTCGGAAAGTAGAGCAAAAAATCAAAGATATTTTAAAAATTAGAAAAGAAAGCAAAATTAAAAGACTAGTCCAAGAAGTCCAGACTGTAAATAGTAGGAGTTCCAGAGAGAGAGAGAGAGAAAAGAGAGAAGAGAAAACAAGACAGAACAGGGTTAATCACAAATGAAATTATTTCCCCAAATTTCCCAGAGATTAAAAAAAGACAAATGTTTCCAGCTTTGAAGAATACATCAAATGTTGGGTCACAGTGAATGGAAAATAAATCCACACTGAGGCACATCATTGGAAATTTTCCAAAAATTGGAGGAAATAAAGAGTCTACAAGATTCTAGAGAAAGAAAAAGGTCACATACAAGGATCAGAATTAGAATAGTTTCAGACTTCTCAATAGCATCCCTGGAAACAAAAAGAAAATGAACAACGTATTCCAAATTCTGAAAGGAAATGCTCTCTAACCTAGAGTTCCATACCCAGCCAAATTACAAAAAAAAAAAAAAAAAAAAAAAAACCAAAGATAGAACAAAGACATTTTCAGACACGCAAAGTCTCAAGAATGTATTTCCCAGGCAGCCTTTCCCAAGAAAGGGAAAGATGTAACAGACACAGAAGTTTCAACACTGGAGGGAAGTAAAGGGGATTTCCAGGAGGATGGTGAAAAACACAGAGGCCAGCAGCCCGGATGGGTACAGCCCCAGTCAAGAGACAGGCGTGTTGGGAGATGCCCAGATTCACTCTATCTTTTTTTCAACTCATGGACAGAATGCTCAGGTAAGCTTGGCCCATATTCTTCACCATGTGCTGTTCTTTGCTCTTTGCTTTCTAGCTAGATGAGCTTGTCTCCCCCCACAGGAGCCCTCTGCGGTGACCCATTCCTAAGGGCTAGCTCAAGTTGGCCGAGATGAACTTAGAGGTGGGATACACAGAGCAGTCCATTTTCCCTGGCAGTTTCCCTTCCTGCAGGAAGACCACAGAAGCCTGTATGTCCAAGAATAGTAAAGGGATCTGCAGGGAATATGGGATGCAAAGAGTGCTATAATAACCAACGATATCTGCTAAGCCTACAATTGGTATGAAAGTCCTCAGCAGCTCGAAGTGTGAATAGGAACTCAGCTTTTAGATGTTCACATCCCACTCTCTCCTGAGTTATATTCAGCTAAAGATGCTCTATGCTTGGATTCCAAGGTCACATGCACATATTCAGCCCCTGTTCCCAAAGTAGGTTCTTTGTGCAAGCCTGGTGGGTCCAGAGGGAGAGGCGTCTCTCCTCAGTTACTTACTGTGCCTGAATCAGCATTCCTGTGTCAACCATCTAGTCCCTAGCATTGGATTTAATGAGTTTCTCTGGGGCATCTTTGGACCCTTTCCTGCCAGCTAACACCATCTGGAACCATCCCAACAACTGGAAGATTAGAAACATGTCAACAACGTCTAGGACTTCTAGGTTCTAAGAGGTTCCTTGACTTTAAGCAATTTGGCCCAATTTCTTCCTGGGGGGGATTTATAAAAGGCCAGGCTTTGTCCAAACCAGAGGTTTTTGTCCCTCCTGTCCCTTCTAGGTAATGGGTGTCTGAGAGACTTACATTGAAAGGATACTCAAGCGGCTTGAGAACAAAATCTGCCCTCAGTTGATGTGCCTTCTCCGTCCAGACAGAAAACAAGCGATTGGATGAAATGGCAGTTTCTTTTGCTAAAGTTCCACCTAAGTTGGCACCTGCCCCGCCCTGTAGAAAAACTTTCAATGAAGTCTGAGACTTGGTCACTTTGTATCCACTGGGGGGGCGGGGGGGGCCTGGATACCCCAGTGCCTAGTCCAGTGCCTGACATAGAGTAGCTGCTCAGTGTGTATTTATAGAGTGCACACAAATGCCTAATTGAATTAAGGCTGCCTCCTGTGCCATCCAAGATTCATATACCATGTGGTTAGGATAAGGCGGTTCTGCCAGCTCCCAGGGAAAATCAGATCCATGATTGAGTATTAGAATAACATCTCATGACTCTGAATGTAAGGCGAGAAGTCCTTTTTAAATGAGTGATGATTTTGCATGTGATAAAAATTATTTATAAAGAAGTTCACTTATTTTGTATCCCAAAATTTACCTCAACCCAAACCAGGCCAACGAGGGGTTCTATAAGGGCATTTTCAGCGGATTGAGGGATGCGTTACTTACAGGGTGGTAGTTAACGTATCAATAGATCCTTCTGAAATGTTGAGGGTTTCTGAAAACAATTGGTTTTTTTTCCCAGTGTTTTGTGCATTCCTCATAGAATCGTATTTTATTTAAAAATACTAGAGAGCCGGAGCCCTCACACATTGCGAGAGGGAATCTAAGTTGGCATGAACACTTGGCAGCATCCACTAAGGGTGAACAAATGTCTCCCCTGTGACCCTGCCATACCAGTCTGGGCACCTACCCAGCAGAATGAGCGTTGCGACCCCCACTGTGCGCATACAGGACTATTCATGGCTACCGGCAGTATTTCCAATGGCCCCCAACTGTAGTAAACTCGTATCTCAACTAGTATCTATCAACAGATAGGAACACCATGGTGTTCGGAATATATTTACGCAGTGGAATAAATACTGCACAGCAATAAACAAGAACTTACTAACCATTGCCCACAACAAAAGACATATTGTTGAGAGAAAGAAACTCAATGCAAAAGAACGCACACCATCTGATCCTATTTATAAGACCAAGAGCAGGCAAAGGTATACAATTGTAGAGGTCAGAATGGAGGTTACTTTGAGGTGAGACCCCACTTGGGTGGGCCATGAGAGAGCCTTCTAGTGAGCTGGAAATATTCTATATAGTTGGAGTAGCAGATTCATGGATGTATACATAATGTAAACATTCATCAAACTGTACCCTCTTTGTGTTCTTTACTGTATGTAAATTGTACTTCAATTTTTAAAAAAATGCTATAAAACTCAGTTCCCTTAAAAAAAAAAAAAAAAGCCCATGAATTACAACAGGAATGTTTCAGATAGAGTTCCTGCCCTGGAAGAGATGCAAAATGAATTACAGAAGATATACACAGACGTGACCGTACCGTAGAGCAGTGTGTGAAAATTCGAGGTGAGAGGTCCGAGGGAATGCAGTCGGGCTGCAGACATGGGACAGAACTGGGAGGGGAAATGGAGCATGTGACGCCTGAGCGGAGCTCTGAGCACCCTCCACCTGCTGCCCCAGCAGGTGTGCTCTTAGATGTCCCGGACGATCCACTTCTCCTGCGCAAGTCACAATGTTTAAGTCTGCTCTGTTGACCCTGCTTCCTCGGCGCACCCTCCGAGCTCTCTTCTTCCCTTCCTGGCCGCATTTCTGGATGGGATCGGCTACCTGCTGTCACCACTCCCTGCTTTCATCCACTGCTTGACCTTCTGGCTTCTCCCTACATCTCCCCAAAGAATCTTTCGCCTGGGCAGCAAAATTACCCAGGAGCCAGAGTTACTGGCTTCTTCTCTTTCTATTCCTCCTCCTCCTCCTTCTTCTTCTTCTTCTTCAAGATTTATTTATTTTAGAGAGCTAGCAGGGGGAGGGGTTCAGGGAGGGGAAGAGAGAGAATCCTCAAGCAGACTCCCCACTGAGCGCGGAGCGGGATGCGGGCTTGATCCCCACGACCCTGGGATCATGACCTGAGCTGAAATCAAGAGCAGTACGCTTAACTGACTGAGCCACCCAGGCGCCCCATTACTGGCTTCTTTTGAGTCCTTTTATTCCTTGGCCTTTGCATATGCGACACTGTCCTTTTCCTCAAAAATCAGCCTCCTTTGTTTTTCGGTAAGCCTGTCTCCTCCCACCTCTTTGCTTGCTCTCCTTGGTGGGCTTCATTTCCTCTGCCGCACCCTTCTGTGGGATGGCACCATCAGCATGCTCCTCTGGTCCTGTTTGGGTTCTCCCTCGGCAAGCCTTCTCCTCCATCTGCTGATGTCTGTGAGGCCTAGGGTCTCCAAACCCCACCTTTCTCCACAACTTGGATCTTGATATACACAGCCTGATGGCTGTCTCGTGCTGCCTCATACAAAAGTCAAGAGTAACCTATTGAAAACTTCATTATTTTCAACGTGACGTTCTTCCTATAGCACCCAGTTACCATTCAGTGAATGGTACGTCCATCCACTCAAAGAAACCGGGAGGTTTCTTTTCTCCCTTCACCTTGTTCCTCTGGCAGCCAAGGGCTATTTGTTCTGCCTTTCGAATAACCTCAGGACTTCGCTGTAGTCCCCAGTCATGTTCTCCTGGATATTGTAATAGTCACCTGACCCATGTGTGTTTAGAGTCTTGCCCACACCCACGTCACTCCCCGGTCATACCTCTTTCCAGCTTCCCTTCCACAATTGGCACTCCGTGCCTTAGCTTGGACCACCGTCCTCCATGTCATCTTGTCTTGTCTTCTCTCCAGACTCGCCTCCCGCCCCTTTGTCTCGGGCAGCCCGAGTGAATTTTAGCACTTCTCCAGCTGTTCCACACTCCCTGGTCTGCAGAAAACCCTCTCTGCCCCTTCTCATTTCCACCAGGGAATTCCTGGCTGTCCTTTATATCCTGACTCCTGCAGGTGCAGATGGACCCCGCGTTCTCCCTGCTCCTCATCACACCCGCAATACTGGAGCTGTTTGTTTTCACCGCTACTAAACTCTCAGGAGGCAGATGTTGTGTCTTATTCATCCTTGTATCCAAAGCCCATGGCTCAGAATCGGTGCTCAGAAAATTTGTTGTATAAATGAGCAAACATTCAGTTGTTAGGTACATAGACGTTTTTGCATCAAAGATACACAGCTCAGCAACTGCATTTCTAGCACTGTCACTGTTTCTATTTCTGAATCTAATTGCTATTGCACAAAACTGTTCAGGGCAGAAACTGCAGTGAGTGGAATGGTCCAGCAACACCCTTCCAATGCAAATGTTCTATGCTTTTATGAAATTGCTGCAGTCTTAAAAGGGTGGAGGCCTTTGGAATTTAAAGCAGGGAAAAAAAATTTGCTGTCCAGTATTCTGCCTGGAAGATTCTTACCCCACTTTCTCCAGGAATGCTCCCTCCTTTCTCTCCCAATTCAGATGAACGGCATTGAAAAATCACAAATCTGAGAAATCGAGGACAAAGCCATGGACATAGGAATTGCTGTGTGGGCCAGAATCCAAGGACCAAGGGTACAGAGTTCTCCTCCTTTAGACCTTGCAAAATGCGGGCTGTCCTTCCTGGTGGCAAGTTCAGAGGGTCGAGGCACACTACGCAGTCAACCAAGTATGAATTTACCTAAAACTCTTTTCAATGTACTTTTATGCTCACACCCAACTCCCAGTTGGATAATGAATTCTGTGGGTTTATTACTTGCTGGAAACAGGATAGCATTTCCTTTCGCTTAACCTAAAAGTCCCCTTGATCCAATGTCACCGATCCCTTCCTAAACTCTGATGCTGAGCTCGTGTGGACAAGGACTTTGCTCCCCGAGCCCTGCTTGCCCTTTGGGACGTGATGGACATCTCCTACAGCCCCTCCCAGCCTACAGCTTTCTAGACTGAAGTAAATATATAGTGTCTAGAAGACGGCCCCGAACATAATAAATATTGAATACTGACTCTGACTCTGAAGCTGAATGATGATAAGAATGGCCTTTAAGGGGGGATTCAAATTCTTGCCACGAGCCTGAGATGTGAGAATGAGCTAATAGATCATTGCCAAACACAGTGTTGAGATCACATGAAAGAGCACACACGGGGCCCCCTTGGTCCAGGGTGCATGGGCTCATTTGTTCCCCGATCACCAGCTGCTCCTGTTTCCCAGCAAGAGGGGTTCTCTTGGTGCCTGCGCAGCCCGTCTTTGTGAGACGGCCGGACGCTGGGCGGAACCTTTCCGAGGACAGCGTCCTGGCATGGGATGATTGCACAAGGGGAACCCTAATGCAGGCCCAGCTCCTGTTGTATGTGGGGCACTGCTCTAGGTGCTTTGCAGGGGTCATGCCCTTTAGCCTTCATGCTAATCCCATCAAGGACATTGGGGTCCCTGTCCCACAGATGAGGAAATTAAGGCGCACAGAGGCTGGGTCGCGTGCCCAGGGTGCTGGAGGCGGTACATCCAGACTTCCAAACCAGACCCGTTGGAGCCCAAATCCCATGCTCTGTTAGAGCATGCCCTTGCCCCCAGGCATGTGACCTTCCCCTCCTATGGAGGCAGGGTTTTAGCCCCTGTCCAGGGCAGCAGGACTGATCCCCTGGTCCATCCCCCGTCGACTCCTCTGGCTGGAGCCCACCCAGGCCCACAGGGTGCTAATGAGCTAGCCAGGTGCCCCTCCTTTACCTTTCCTTGCCTTATCTGCTGGCAGGAAGCACAGGGACAAGATGGGAGCAGTGACTCATCGATAGAAGAATAAACTCTTGAGTGGGGGCAGCCTGAGTGGCAGGGCTGGATGCTCTGACAATGGAAGAACGTCCCCGGAGCTTTGGAAGGGCCTTGCCCTTCACCGCTAGGAAACACAGGCGGGCGGAGAGAGGATAGCAGCCACGGGGTGGGAGTGCAGCCCGGGGGGAGCAGGACTGGGGACTGCAGCACTTTCCAGCGTGGAGAGGGAAGCATAACAGGGACCGAAGACTTTTCTGAGGCCGTCATTTGAGCTCTTTGCCATGTTAGGCAAACTGCGAGGGTTTTTTATTCACTCCTGTTTTGATTTAGCAGATTAACCTGGCCTCCACAGAGGATGAGCTTTCTCCACGTCACAGGCCAGGCATGCAAAGGACCCCACAGTTTCAGCGGTTTAACCTCGGAAGCATGTGAGGAAGCCTGCCCCAGCAGACTCTGGGAGGCGTCTGTGTTCTGTCCCCAGGGGGGTTCCTGCTTCTGCTAAGTAACAGGTGAGGCTTGTCACCTCTCTGCTGCCTTTTACCCTTCTCGCAGGCACTCCCAGGGCCTGATCAATGGTGGGGATGGGGAACAGAGACAAGTGGGTGTTGGCAAAGTGCTGGTGGGCTTACCAGACAGACTGTTATCCAGGCAGTTCTGCCGGCCTGCAGTCCTGCACCGGGCCTCAGGGGCCACCACCCTGCCCTCTGCACAGCTGGGTTCAAAGATGCAGAAAGAAGTCTGAAGCATGGGTACGCCAGAGCGTGAGGGCAGCAAACACCTCAAAGGGCACCATATTCCCTGAGTATCTCATGGTTTGACCACTGTTATGGCCTGAATTGTGTTCCTCAAAATTCCCTTTTTTTTTTTTTTAAGATTTTATTTATTTATTTGTCAGAGAGAGAGAGAGAGAACACAAACAGGGGGAGCGGCAGGCAGAGGGAGAGGGAGAAGCAGGCTCCCCTCTGAGCAGGGAGCCCAATGTGGGACTTGATCCCAGGATACTGAGATCATGACCTGAGCTGAAGGCAGATGCGTAACCATCTGAGCCACTCAGGTATCCCGTGTTCCTCAAAATTCTTATGTTGAAGCCCTAGTACCCAATGTAGTTTGGAGATAGGGCCCATAAGGAGGTAGCTAATGTTCAGTGAGGTCATATGGGTTGATCCCTTTTTATTAGGTTTTATTGATTTATTAGGATGAGTGTCCTTGTAAGAAAAGACACCAGAGAGCTTGATTCCTCTCTGTCTCTCTGTCTCTCTCTGCCTTGTGAGGATACAGCAAAAAGGTAGCCCCACCTGCAAGGTAGGAAGAGAGATCTTACCAGGAACCAAATTGGACAACCCCTTGATCTTGGACTTCTAGCCTCCAGAACTGAGAATACCCAGTCTGTGGTATTTTGTTATAGCAGCTAGATGAGACTAATACAACGACTAAGATGTCAGTGACTAACAGATCAAACTGACCTTCAGTTTCCCCCTGCTTCCAGTAAGGAATTTTCATCCTATTCTGAGCAACCATTGTGCCACCCTATCACCTTGCAAAAAATGATTGCAGAGGTGCCACTCGTGGAGAATTTGCTCAGGGGAGGGATTTCTCTGCCTCATCCCTCCCAAGCCACGCCTCTGGTGACGCCTGGAAGCCCAGGTCAGGCCACAGCAGCCTGGCTGCCCTGCAGGGAAACGCGTGCTCTGGGAGAGCTGTGGATGTTCCACCCTTGACAGTAAAAATCCCGGCGAACTGACTCCAGCCCGCCTCATCCCACCCCACCCCACTGTGCAGGACAATATTAGGCCAGCACTAGAGCTCGGAGAGTTCCCCCAACAGCCCGAGTCACAGGCCACCCGCTTTGTGGCCCTCCCTGCAAAAATCCTGCAAGGTAAAGCAGCTCACAAGGATCCTAGAGCTTCCTTAGGAAAATGCCATTTTATCCAGGTCTTAGGAGCTCAGTGAATGAAAATACTGGCTTTAGAAACTGGGTGGGATTTACAAGAAGACTGACCAGAAATCCTTTAACTAGGCCCTTCCGTCTTTTCTATCATAAATACAAGGCTTTAAAAAACTTGTGTTTTTACTTGACTTCCTCAATCAAACATATACTCTGTGAAATAAAGGTCCATGCGGATTTGAAACAGGTATTGGAGTTGATCTCGTGAGGCCTCGGGAACGGCGAGATAAGCCCATGGGAGCCCCTGAGCGAGAAAGAGGGAGAAGAGAGGATGGCCAAGGGTGGCGCGCACAGGGAAGCCTGGTGCCCACTGCTCAGGGGTGCTAGCACGCTAACCCCTCAGTAACCCTCTGACGTCCTTTGAGCCATTATGTCTCCAGTTCCAGCAGTAACCACGAGCATCTCTGACCACAGGCAGTGTGTGCCAGGAGGCTTGGTTCCATTGGTCCAGGCCTCTCCTCTGCCTCCATCTGAACCACGGCCCCGATGCCACACTCCCACAGTCCCATAGCCCAGGGGCACGAAGCGACCCATGCAGATGCATTCTGCTCACCTTCTCGTCACAGACATGCAGTGGTAGAGAGCCTCCCTCTGCCTCCGTGAGAGTGTTGTGTGAACGGCTTCTGGGAACCCCTTATTTTCTCCTTGGATCCCAGACACAAATAAGAATAAGGCTTGCTTACATGCCTAGGACATTTCTGAGCTCTGGTGCCCACAAAATTTCCTAGGACTAAGAATGCAAGTCTGTCATTATGGTATTTGCAGAACCAGAGACTGTATTTAAGTCTTCAAGATGATGCTTATTATAACCCTTTCTTGGGACTATCGTGCCAAAACACTACATGAATAGTCTTTTTCAAGGAAATTTGCCAGGGAAGGCAGCAAGCATCTGATCACATAGGAATAGTTTTGGGGTGGTTTTAAGCTGTAGAGTCTGGGGGCGAAGGAAATTTTCCTGAATGCTGCCCTGGGGAGGGAGAATCCACACAGGGCTGTGCGTTGCCCAGGCGGCCATTGAGGGGCTGCCGTCTGCAGAACTCATGATGGCAACAGTGTGCCCTTGGAGCTGAACATGATGGCAGCCCTTCCCTGCCACAGGAAGTGGGCATCTATGGAAGACACTGAATCCTGATTTAAAGATTAATGATGGGGAAAACAGGTGCCTCAAGGGGCAGGCGAGGGTTCTGAGTTCTTCTGGGGGAGAACGCAGACCCCCAAGCCTGGCGCATCTAAGTCTCCAAGGAATCATATTGGGGTGGGAGGAACTTCCTCTCAAGTAAAATTTTCATTTTCTGAAACTACTTCCCAACCCATTTGCATCACCCAACGATCAAAAGTCATCCTGTCATTTTGAACTTTTGTTTGTTTTAAAAACTCATAATGTAATCAGAGAACGTGCATCCCATATCATTAATATCCCTATGAGGCGATACCACATTTACAAAAATGAAAACATTATATCTTTTCTTGTATCCACTATTACTTTGCCTGTGGGGAGGAAAGGAGGTGCCATGCACAATGTCACATTCTAGGAAGATTGATCTGGAAGTGGTAGAGAAATGGACTGGGGCGGGGGGTGGGAATAGCAACAGTCAGGGAGGTGGCTCATTTCTTCCTTTATTCAGTAAACATTGATTAGGCACTTGTTGTATGTCATGTGCATGCAGATGGTTTCTTCCTTCCTTCCATGTCATTTTTGGTCCTCCAAGATGCAGACACCAAAACAGAATATGACGTGCAAGAAATGTACTGGGGGACATGCCTATGGAAGATAAAGGAGGAAGAAGCAGGGGCCAGGGGCACAAGTCTGAAAAGAGAGCGGGAGGAAGAGTGACAGACCACAGGGCAGGTGGCGGAAAGTCTCCACCAGGCCAACAGGTAGCCTCCTGAGCCAAGGCTGCCCGTTGGAGGAGTCCCACCCGGGGCAGGAAGGGACCGGCTCCAGCACGGTCAGTGTGCTTGTTGGTTGAAGGTGGGCTGGGAGAAATGTCAATGCCATGGTGGGATCCAAGAGGAAGCAGCTGGAGGCTCTCAGTCAACTACATTTCCCTCAGCAGGTTCTTTGGAAAGAGAGCTGAGTGGAGCATGTCCGTGGCCGACACGGCCTTCCAGAACTCTTGATGTAGACATCTAAATATAGGCATCACAGCTATATTCCAAGCCTGTGGACCAGCCTTGGGGGTTAGGTGTCCGTTCCAGGTTCAGTGGGCCACAGCCTGGATTGTGGATAGGCCCGGGGATGGTGTGTGACTGCTTAGATGGGGAAGGTTATATGTGCAGCAGGGAGGTGATTGCTAGACCACAGTTATGTACGAGACCCAGTGGCAGGGAGGAGGGAATTAATTACTTGCAAAGGAGAGGCCAGGGAAGGATAAATGGATACAGCCATTGGGTTTTAGAACATGACTAGGATTTGTCGTATACACAGAAGAAGATGCAGTAGAATCTGTCCCATCAGAAACCTGGCTCCCTATCCTGGCCCTGTCGCTTATCTGCTGTGTGACCTCGGGTTAGACTCTTCACCTCTCTTATGCTGCACTTTCTTCACGTGTATCATGGACATCACAGTTTACAGAATTGTGACAATGACACATGTGAATTCATTAGCAGGGGGCCTGAGCTAGGGGACACGATCCATAAATGGCCACGGAACTGTGTTCTTGCCGCTAATATTCCTGACATCCCAGCCAGTGGAAACGGCCCGTCCAAAGGTCAGCTAGGACACAGGGCAGCCAGTCCGGGGAGCTGCCGGTGGCTCTCTGTGGCTGGAGCCCCCAGGGCAAGGGAAGCTGTGTTAGAAAACAGGGCCTGTTGGATGCAAAGCCTTACGTGCGGTGTAAGATATTTCAGATTTCACACTAGGTTATGAGATGCTATTAAAGGATGTTATGGAGGGAGGGAGAGGATCAGATTTGCATTTTAAAAGTCTCCCTCTGGCAGCAGGGCATTCGCAGGGTAGAGGAAGAAGGGACTGGAGTGGGCAGATGGATAAGGAGGCTTTTGCTCTAATCCAAGCAAAGGATCAGAGGACCCACAAAAGGGAAAGGAGAAGCAGACTTGAAAGATATTTAGCAGGAAGAACTGGAAGGTGCTTGAAACCAGTTGGGCCTATGGGGGAGGGAGGCCTCTTGGGGCAGGGGGGACGCCTGGTTGTTTGGTCCGAATGAGTTGGTGGTTGGACGTACAATGTACCCAATAGCAACTAGAAGGCAGGGGCAAGTGATCGAGGCCGGTGGTGGAGACGAGACAGTTGAGTCGGGGCGTGTTGCATCTCAGGAGCCTGTTGGGTGCCCCAGTGGGCCATTTTGGCAGACAGTTGGATGAACTGATCTGGGGCCCCCGAGCAGTCCGGAGGCACTTGGAGATCGTGGGCACAGTCCAGGTGGGGGTCTGAATCAGAGTGACGGTGGGAAGAGTAGAAAGAGGGTCAGTGCAGGGACCGTCACGGGGCCTGCGTGATTCACATGGGCATCTTGTCTGTAGCCACCTTGTAAACACGTGATGGAACGTGGGAATATGCTGCCGCCCAAGGCCCCTTGAATCCACAGAGACACTGAAAGAATAAACAACCATCTGGGATTGCAAGGGTGAAGTCAGCTCAGACTGAAAAAGAAAAGAGGATTCGTACAGCTAATCAGGCTGGAGGGACACTGTTACAAGCAGCTGCAAAGTTAACAGGAGACCTTGTTTCTCCCAAGGCCACACAGTGGCTGTAAAAATGAGTGACCGCTGCTTTTTTTTCCCAGTGGTGCCCCAGAGCGGCCTCTCTAACCCATCCGGTACCGAGGGTCCCCAACTG